TTCTAAAACCAATCTTTCAACGGTTAAGAGGAACTCTCTTTTAAGGATTTTTTCATTCATTTTTCACAAAAAACTTCAATGTTTTTAAACAAAAAATTTTTAAATTTTAAGCTATTAATTCAAGACAATGAAATGTTTCTCATGATACCGCCAAAAATTATTTCAACTGTTCAAATTCACGCTTTCATCTTTAAATTTCAAACAACTTTTGAAGCGCTGTGTAATAGAGAGAACACTCTGAAGCAAAAAAGAAAAAAATGAAACAACGATCGAGCTGAAAGATCCTAGTTCAAACAACTCAAGCACGTTTGCAGCAAACAAAGAAAAAATGACCAACGTTTTTGCAGAGTGTACTAACAACTGCACTAAATTCTGGAACAAATAAACTATATCGTAGCTTCTACAAAAGAAATAAAAAAAGAAACAAAAAGTTAGAACCCAAACTTCCAGGTAAACCTTCATTACCAATTACCAGTTGACTTGAAAAATTTAAAGGCCTCTACCTCAATACTTAACGAATCAAACAAAAATAACTTCTTATCCAAAAAAGGAAAAAAAAACTTCTTTCAAATATTCAAATCGAGAGGAAACATGCAAAGGGCACTTAATTTCTTTAAGTGTATAAAACTACAAAAAGCAAAAAAACCCAACAAATAAACAAATAAAAAGCAAAAAAAAAAAAACAAATAAAAAAACAAAAGTAAAGGAGAATAAAGAAAACCAAAAAAGATCAGAAGTATCAAACAGAAGAACTACCCAAACAACTGCGGGAGAAAAAACATTGTACTGAGTTCTTTTAAGTGGTTAATATTCAGAAGCAAAAAGAGAAGTAAAAAAAAAAGGCTCTCTTCTCCGACATCGAGCATTTTTACGCTAAATGAATTCAGATTGTGACCAAGAAAAAATGCAGCAAATCCTTAAATAAACATACACTTAATGGCCAGCAAATAAACCTCATAAAACTAAACCGTAAACAACCTCCTTTATTTTTCTGAAATAAATTTAAAAAACTCAAGTGCTAAACCAAGCAACTCTACCGTTTTAAACCTCAAGAATGGTTTTAATCTGTCAAAAAAGAAATACATAAACCCCAGTAAACTGTGTTTGATGTAATACTTATCTGTAAAAGCTGATACAAAATCGAAAGTTTCATAGCACTACATTACACCTAACCAAAAAAGTGGTCAAAACCGTACTATAAAGAAAAAACAGATAAAAGCATTTAAAAAAGCCACAAGAATTTGGTTTTAGAATTTACCTCCGGTAAATAAAGCAAGAAAAAAATTTCAACACACAACATTCAACAAAACCAATCTCGGAACCAGAACTTGAATGCCCGTAATACCAGTTCTTAAAAAATTTTAGCTTAATACTTATCCGTTTGTTAACGGGAAAATAGATAGTACAAAAGCAGTTCAAGAAATAGAAAAAAATAAAAATAACAAGCTGATTTGAAAATTATTACCAGTTCAGTGCTATTGATCCAGTTGTAGACTGAATGCCAGGTACTATTGTTACTATTATTAAAATTTGGTATCGGTGACCAGCAAGAATGGAATAAATTAGTTGATGGTGATGATGATGAAGCATTTACACTTGAATTACCCCAGACAGATGCCGAATTATTTGTGTCACTTAGGATCGGAGGATCAAAACATCCAACCGCCATCATGGTGCTGCCAAACTGAACGTTCCGAATGTTTAAAGCTACTACGAATAAAATTCCTTTTTTCCGGCCACCCAACTGAATACAGTTGTCAGTGTGACGGAACGATCTGAATTGAACTTTTTTTCAAATAAAAAAATTCAATCAGATCTGATATGATGATTTCACTGAAGTGAAAGGTTCGCGAACTCGCGGCCACACCTAAAAACAGCAAGAACAGTAATATCAAGCGGCGATCAAATCAGTGACGAGCATAAATTTCTGACGACAAGAAATAAGAAACAAAAACAAAAACAAAAAAAATCGAGTGCAGGACGCTGGCAAAAATATGTGTGTATAAACGTTTGGTGCCGTCTCTGTGTTGCAGGAAAAGAGTGCAGCCTTTGTATCTCTGCCACACAGCTACAGCCACAGCAACAGAACTCCCCTCCCTCTCCCTTCCCCTCCCTCTACTACCCCGCCGCTCTCCCATCCCCTCCCCGAAACTCCCCCAAACCCCAGGGGAGTACGCCAAAGCGTGACTGGTGCCGCCCCTGGTGGTACGGACTAGCACCAGGCAAACCCGCGCTGTGTTCGCTCAGCGATTCTACTTCAGACCCGACTGGCACTAATTCAGAGGTCACTACTCCCAAAAATACCTCTTTTCTCAAGTATTTTTTTTATTCCACGTTAATAGCTTAGCGTATAAAGACAGAAACCACTTCTTTTTCGTTAAAAACAAACTTACAAAAATTCCTGGTACAGTCATTTTTTTTTATTGCTCGCCTCAAAAAGTGCATTAACCATTTACTGTCAACAATAATAACAAATTTTACTCCCTTTAACACCCTGAATTTTTTGGTAAATTCGTCCGTGCATGCACAGCACAACATCATTTTGTCTAAACTAATTGTCTACAACTGCAAAATTTTGCTCAGATTGCACGGGGCTAGTTGACCGTTGCTGTTTTTGATATGACAAAAAAAAAAAAAAAAAAAAAAAAAAAAAAA